TAGCTCAGTCAGTAAAAAATCTGCCTCTATGGCGGAGACCCAGGTTAGGCCTCTGGGTCAGGAAGATCCCCTGAAGAAGGAAATGGCAACCCACCCCAGAATTCTTGCCGGGAGAATCCCATAAACAGAGGAGCCTGGTGGGCTACAGTCCATGGGATTGCAAAGAGTCGGCTATGACTAAGCCACTAACACACACTTAAGAATCTTATAGTTGGAAATATCCTTAAAAGCATGGCATGCTCTTTGGTTTTAATTTACAGAAGGGGCCACCAAAATCATGACATGGACCAGTCCTCCACCCCCACAAGTCCCCCATGCTGAAGAGGTGATGGCCACCTATTCTACATGCTGCCCTTTAGTTTCCAGAATTATGCTTCATCCCAGCTTTCTCTCTGGTCATTCAGCATTCATTATCAAAAGGGAAACTAAATTTTTTCATTTGATCATTTAAATCTGCTAGCCCTCTGAAAGGCATGCAGGCTCGCATGGAGTCTGCAAGGCTGCTATTTGAGAGAGTTCTGTTTCATAATTCAGGAAGACGGTTCTGCATAAGGTGGCCACTCGAAGCGTTTCTCTCAGTGCGTTCGTCTGCCTGGCACAGGAGAGCCACTAAAGGAATGACGGCCAATACGGATGCTTTAAGTTAAGAAACTGTAATCAAGATGGTCCAAGTCATGAAGCAGTAACTATTTAGTAGAAAATAGAAAGATCTGGTTTGGGTAAAATGTCTTATAGTTTTAGGTGGTGGTTGTTCAGTCACTCAGTCACATTCAACCCTTTTGTGACTTATTGGACTGCAGTCCACGAGGCTCCTCTGTCCATGGAATTTTCCAGGCAAGACTACTGGAATGGATTGCCATTTCCTTCTCCAGGGGGTCCTGACCAGGGATTGAACCTGTGTCTTCTGCACTGGCAGGAGGATTCTTTACCATTGAGCCATAAGGGAAGCCCCATAGTTTTAGGTACCTCCTGTCTAAAGGACACCAAACTGTGAGTCAAGAAACTTCAAATATCCAATTATATGGGTCTAAAATTCAACCTCTCCCTTCTGTCACATGTGCAAAATAGAAAGGTGGATGATTTAATTTTTATGTAAAGATCTGATTTCCATCTGGCTCAAACCTGAGACAAAGCCCTCAGGTGGTCCTGTGACTGTGACCAAGGGGTCTGGGGTCTTGCTCTGTCACTCAACTAGCAGGAGATACCAGGAGATTACTATATTTCTCTTGGCTAAATTTCCCCAGCTTTAGAGTGAGGAGTTTAGATGTAACACTGTCAAAGGTCACTAGTTCTATTCTGGTCAAACACTTCCAAGTCCACAGCAGAAAAAAAGGTTTTTGCTGATGTTCCAGAATGGACCAGTAGGTCTTTCTGAGTTTAATCAACTCGATACATGGATGAGTTTAGGTGAGTTGGGGCTGAGGAACACAAGAAAATGAAAAGAATAAGAGCCATCCCACACTCCTGCAATCCATGTGTATCTCACATAAAAGCATAAAGTCTCCAGAAAACTCATCAAAAGACCGAGTTAGGCAAATGCATGGGCGGTGGAAGTGGATGGTTGTAGAACTGGTGCCCTTTGGCTGAGACAGGACTGGAGTGGAGGCAAAAAGGAGAAGTCAGTGCAGTGCTAGGGTGGAGGGTATTTCTCTGCAGACCATCTCATACTCTATCTCTGCCACACAGGGCTCAGTAAATAGCATATGGAAATGTTAGTATAGGAAATACAGAGACTGATAAAACATGAACCTTCTGTCTTTCTAGATACCAAACTTCATGATAGCAAGGCATCTTTCTCAAAACATTACCAGTTAAAAGTAAAAAGATGTTTGGGAAAAGCCAAGAGAAAGGAAAAATCCAAAATGGGCCAATCTTGACATCAAGAAAAGAAAATATTTAAATTTGACCTTGAAAGTCTGTTGCTATGTTAATAGCCTCTTAAACTAGATTGGTGGTGATGTCTTGGTAAGCTCTTTGGCTCAGTTAATTGTCATGGTTACTGATTTCTCATGATTTCCTTGTGCGGAATCCTGATACACAATCACAATTTAAAAATCAAAAGGAAAGAGTTTAAAAACACTGTGAATTTAAAATCAGAGCACTTGTAAGATGTACTGGTTATACTTAAAAGTGTTAATTTTTGCTCGCAAGAACACCTGTTCTTACTCATAATTCATAATTTCACAGAGTCAAAGCAAAGAAGTAGCTAGTTTAGAATGGACTAGGATAAAATCTCATTTTGAAAACCAAATCAGGTTAGGAAGTACTAAAGATACTATAAAAGGTAAAAAAATTTCCCCCTCCAACCCATTTCCCCTTCTGTAGACTCAATCACTAGTAACAGATTCCTTTCAGGAAAAAAGGTGAATACATATATCACTATTTATAAAAGGATTTAGTATATGTATTATTTTCACATTTTATTTTGTTCATTTAATAATATTTCTTGGAGAATTTTTCTTCATTGTTGTATTTGAATCTCCCTCATTGTTTTAACAGCTTCACCATATACCAATGGGTTTCTCATATTTGTTTAGCCAGTTCCTTATTGATGAACAATTATATTGTACCCATTCTTTTATTACAAAACTACTCGAACTTATACACATATTCTTAGGAACATATATGTCTGTATACTATGACATCAATATGTAAAGTATGTCTGTAGAGTAAATTCTTAGAAATGGAATTTTCTTGTAAAAAACAAGTATATTTTAAATTTGGATGATACCAAATCATCCTCAAAAAATTTTATATCAATTTGAGTTTCCCTAGAAGTGCATGAGAAATTATTGTTCCATCCTTTGTCTATTGTGTAATATCAAAATGTTTGATCCTTGCAAGGTTGATGTAAAAAGCATCTCCTAGATTTATTTTATTGTGATTTTTTATTTTATTAGCACTTCTTTCAAATTTATAAGATAATCATATTTATCTATTAACTATTTTGTGCCCATTTTATTTTTTTTATATTTATTTATTTGACTGCATTTGGTCTCAGCTCTGACCTGGAGGATATTTTTAGTTTCAGTCTATGCAATCCAGTTTCCTGACCAGGAATCAGACCCAAACCTGCTGCACTGGGAGTGCAGAGTCTTAGGCACTGGACCACCAGGGAAGTCTCCCGTTTTAAAATTAGATTTTTTTAAGAAGACATACAGATGGCTAACAAACACATGAAAAGATGCTCAACATCACTCATTATCAGAGAAATGCAAATCAAAACCACAATGAGGTACCATTACATGCCAGTCAGGATGGCTGCTATCTAAAAGTCTACAAGCAATAAATGCTGGAGAGGGTGTGGAGAAGAGGGAACCCTCTTACACTGTTGGTGGGAATGCAAACTAGTATAGCCACTATGGAGAACAGTGTGAAGATTCCTTGAAAAACTGGACATAGAATTGCCACATGACCCAGCAATCCCACTTCTGGGCATACACACTGAGGAAACCAGATCTGAAAGAATCACATGCACCCCAATGTTCATTGCAGCACTGTTTATAATAGCCAGGACATGGAAGCAACCTAGATGCCCATCAGCAGACGAATGGATGAGGAAGCTGTGGTACATATACAGCGTGGAATATTACTCAGCCGTTAAAAAGAATTCATTTGAATCAGTTCTAATGAGATGGATGAAACTGGAGCCCATTATACAGAGCGAAGTAAGCCAGAAAGATAAAGACCATTACAGTATACTAACACATATATATGGAATTTAGAAAGATGGTAACGATAACCCTATATGCAAAACAGAAAAAGAGACTCAGATGTATAGAACAGACTTGAGGACTCTGTGGGAGAAGGCGAGGGTGGGATGTTTCAAGAGAACAGCATCGAAACATGTATATTATCAAGTGTGAAACACATTTCCAGTCCAGGTTGGATGCATGAGACAAGTGCTCGGGGCTGGTGCACTGGGATGACCCAGAAGGATGGGATGGGGAAGGAGCTGGGAGTGGGGTTCAGGATGGGGAACACATGTAAATCCATGGCTGATTCATGTCAACATATGGCAAAAACCATTACAATATTGTAAAGTAATTAGCCTCCAACTAATAAAAAATAAATGGAAAGAAAGAAATGAACCCAACACTGTCAATCAACAAATAAAAAAAGATGATAGTTTTAAAAAAATTCGATTTTTTTATTATTGATTTGAAGGGTTATTACACATTAATGAAGTTAAACTTAAAAGTCCTACGTCTTACATATCACAAATATTTCCTAGCTTGACTTCATTTAAGGTATTTGTTTAATACATTTATTTTTAACTTTATGTGATTATTTTGTTTAAAACTAATAGCATTTAATTTTTATTGCTTTTAGAAAGAAAAACTTTTCCTTTTCCATTTTTTTAAAATTTCTATTTGCTTATTGTATTTTTGTGCAATTATTTTCTAGGATGCAAGGTAGAAAAGTTAATTTTAACATTTGAATTGTTGACAAATCTGGAATTCGTTTTAAGACTAAAAATGAAGTAAACATCCAGATTTTTTTCCTTTCAGTGGCAACTGATTGAAAGCCCAGTTGTATAAGATTCTAAATTACTTTATGGACCTCAATACCATTCCATCGGTCTGGCAATTATCTGCACCAGTACAAAATATACCGTATTAATACATTCTTGTATTTGGCAGATTTAGTGTATCCCCATAACTTTTAATTTTTCACTATGAACTCCTATTTCCTTCTTATTTCTTTAATGGGTTTTAGAACTAGCTTTACTAGTTCCAAAATTAAATCAAAACTAGTAAGTTTTATTAATATGATTCTACTAAATTTATAATTAATTTAGGAAAAATTTGCATCTTTACTGAATTTTCTTATTCAAGAAAAATCACAGTTTTTCATTTATTCAAGTTTTTACTTACATCCTAAATGGGGTTTTTAAAAAAGTGTAGGTCCTGCTTATTTCTTTCTAAGCTTATGACTAAGTATTTATCTTTGTGCATGATATTTTAAGTTCAATACTTTCCTTATACCATCTCACTTAGTGTCTAGATTCTGGAAAGCTACTGATCTTTATGGTAAAGAGGTAGTTAGGGAGCAAGGGGTGCCGGTAGCTGGAAGGAGGCAGCCGGGTGCTCTCACTCGCTCTCTGCTCCAGTCGCTGTTGGGGGTTCCAGGCGGCGTGACACGCTGCACTTTTCCTAGGCGGTGGCCACCAGAGGATTCCCGCAGCCGACTCCCGTTCCACTGGCGACTTCCTGTTTACCCCCAGAGGATGCGCCCGGCCACTGGAGGTGAAGCAAGCGCAAAGTCCAAAGTCAGCCCCCAGTGCCGCCAACGTCCCCGAGAGCCCCTCTCCCTCGCCCGAGCCTGCGCCAGCCCTGGGAGCAATGCGCCCCTGGCCAGATGGTGCACTCTCTGCCAAATCGCCACCCATGGGATCCACTGCCCTCGGTTGCCCCGCTTGGAGCTCGTGGCCTTCACCGTGTGGCCCGAGTGAGGCGTGAGACACCAAGGCATTTGGCAGATTCTAAGCACTGGCAGGTCTGCTGTGGTCGGCTGCGGAGCAGTGTCCATATCCAGGGGGTGAAGAGAATCCCCAGTAAGATGCAGAAGCCTTCTGTCCCTCAACCACTAACTTTACCACAGACCTGGAAGATACCACCATCCTCAAGATTTGCAAAAGACTGTCCTGGAACCTGCGTGGAGGTTACAAAGACCATCCTGGTGGTGGCCTGAGCAGATTATTTCAACCCCAATGTTGTCCTGAACATTGCAGTCAAGATTCCAGAAGATTAGGACTGCTAAATCAGTACAGGGAGAACAAAATGGTGGAGGAGTAGGTGGATGGGAAGTACATCTCCACGGAAACATCAGGAATACACCTTCAGACACGGAAGTGCATGCAGAACAACAGCTGAGAGCAGACAGGCGTACCTGACCAGTGAAAAAGAATATATAGAACCATGCAAACCTTGAGGTCAAACCATGAGCCTTTGGAGTGGGAGGACTGACTACAAGACGCTAGACTACCAGAGAACTAACCCTGGGGAGTATCACATAGTGAGAACTTACATAAAGGAAACCACTGTAATACAAGACTCGGCATCACCCAAACACCAGTAGCACCTGTACACAACGCCTCATCTAAACAGCAAACAAAACAAAAATACAGACTCAATCATCAGCAGACAGGAGTACCACCTCACTCAGCCTTGCCCATCAGAGGAAAAACAAACAAACAAAAACTCAGCACAAATCTCACCCTACAGGAAGCTCACACAAACCACTGGATCAACCTTAGGAGGGCAGAAACCAGAAGGATGAAAGAATTCAACCTTCTTCAAGGAAACAATTCAACTTTCTTGAAGCCTGGGAAAAGGAGACCTCAAACACAATAACTTAAAAGAAAGGCAGAGAAATAATGCACAAATGAAGGAACAAACTAGAAACACAGAAATCCAAATAAATGAAGAGGAAATAGGAAAATTACCTGCAAAATAATTCAGAAAAATGACAGTAAATATGATCAAAAACCTTGAAAACAAAATGGAGAAAATGCAAGAATCAATTAACAAACACCTAGAAGAATTAAGGAACAAGCATACAGAGACAAACAAAGAGGAAGACATAACAATTGTAAATATCTATGCACCCAACATAGGAGTACCTCAATACATAAGACAAACACTAACAGACATAAAAGGAGAAATTGACAGTAATACAATAATAGTAGAAGACTTTAACACCACTCTCACACCAATGGACAGATCATCAAAACATAAAATTAATAAGGAAACACAAGTCTTAAATGATACATTTGATGGGACGGATCTCATTGATATCTTCAGGATGTTCCATCCAAATGCAGAATACACCTTCTTCTCAAGTGCACATGGAACAGTCTCCAGGATAGACCACATCTTGGGTCACAAATCAAAGCTCAGTAAATTTGAGAAAACTGAAATTGTATCAAGCATCTTCTCTGACAACAATGATATGAGACTAGATACCAATTACAAGAAAAAAACTGTAAGAAACACACACATATGGAGATTATACAACATGTTAATAAATAACCAACAGGTTACTGAAGAAATCAAAAGGGAAATCAAAAAATTTCTAGAAACAAATGATAATGAAAACACAACAACTCAAAACCTATGGAATGCAGCAAAAGCATTTCTAAGAAGGAAGTTTATAGCAATACAATCCTACCTCAAGAAACAAGAAAAACATCGAATAGACAGCCTAACTTTACACCTAAAGCAACTAGAAAAAGAAGAAGAAAAAAAAAACCAAAATTAGCAGAAGGAAAGAAATCATAAGGATCTGAGCAGAAATAAATGAAAAAGAAATGAAAGAAACAATAGTAAAGATTAACAAAACTGAAAGCTTGTTCTTTGAGAAGATAAACAAAATCGACAAACCTTTAGCCAGACTCATCAAGAAAAAAAAGAGCGAAGAATCAAATCAACAAAATTAGAAATGAACAAGGAGAAGTTACAACAGACAATGCAGAAATACAAAGGATTGTAAGACACTATTATGAACAACTATATGATAACCTGGAAGAAATGAACAGATTCTTAGAAAAGTTCAATCTTCCAAGACTAAACCCGGTAGAAATTATGAACAACCCAATTACAATCACTGAAATTGAAGCTGTATTCAAAAATCTCCCAAAAAACAAAAGCCCAGGACCAGATGGCTTCACAGGAGAATTCTGTCAAACATTTACAGAAAAGCTAATGCCTATCCTTCTAAAAGTCTTTCAAAAAATTGCAGAGGAAGGAACACTTCCAAATTCATTCTATGAGGCCACCATCACCCTGTTACCAAAACCAGACAAAGACAACAGAAAAAAAGAAAACTATAGGCCATTATCACTGATGAACATAGGTGCAAAAATCTTCAACAAAATTTTAGCAAACAGAATTCAGCAGCATGTCAAAAAGCTCATACACCATGATCAAGCTGGGATTATTCCAGGGTTGCAAGGATTCTTCAATATATGGAAATCAATCAATGTGATACACCACATTAACAAAATGAAAGATCAAAACTAAATGATAATCTCAATAGATGCAGAAAAAGCCTCTGACAAAATCCAGCACCTATTTATGATTAAAACTCTTCAAAAAATGGGCATAGAAGGAACCTACCTCAACATATTAAAGGCCATATATGATAAACCTACAGCAAACATTATTCTCAATAGTGAAAAACTGAAAGCATTCCCCATAAGATCAGGAACAAGGTAACAGTGTTCACTTTTGCCACTATTATTCAACATAGTTCTGGAAGTCTTAGCTACAGCAATCAGAGAAGAAAAAGAAATAAAAGGAATCCTCATGGGAAAAGAAGAAGAAAGCTCTCACTGTTTGCAGATGACATGATATTTTACATGGAAAACCCTAAAGATACTATCAGAAAATTACTAGAGCTAATCAGTGAATTTAGCAAAGTTGCAGGATACAAAATCAATACATAGAAATCACTTGCATTTCTATATACTAACAATGAAAAATCAGAAAGAGAAATTCAGGAATCAATCCCATTCATCATTGCAGCAAAAAGAATTAAGTATATAGGAATAAACTTACCTAAGGAGATGAAAGAACTGTACACAGAAAATTATAAGATACTAATGAAAAATCAAAGATGACATAAACAGATGGAGAGATATTCCATGCTCCTGGGTAGTAAGAATCAATATTGTGAAAATGACTATTCTACCAAATGCAATCTACAGATTTAATGCAATCCCTATCAAATTACCAATGGCATTTTTCACAGAAGTAGAACAAAAAATTTTGCCCTTCATATGGAAACAGAAAAGACCCTGAATAGCCAAAGCAGTATTGAGAAAGAAGAATGGAGCTGGAGGAATCAACCTTCCTGACTTCAGGTTATACTACAAAGCTACAGTCATCGAGACAGTATGGTGCTGGCACAAAAACAGAAATACAGACCAATGGAACAAGATAGAAAGTCCAGAAATAAACCCATGCACCTCTGGGTACCTTATTTTTGACAAAGGAAGCAAGAATATACAATGGGGCAAAGACAGCCTCTTCAATAAATGGTGCTGGGAAAACTGGACAGCTACATGTAAAAGAATGAATTTAGAACACTTCCTAACACCATACACAAAGATAAACTCAAAATGGATTAAAGACTTAAATGTGAGACCAGAAACTATAAAACTCTTAGAGGAAAACATAGGCAGAACACTCAATGACATAAATCAAAGCAAGATCCTCTATGACCCACTTCCTAGAATAATGAAAATAAAAACAAAAGTAAACAAGTGGGACCTGATTAAACTTAAAAGCTTTTGCATAGCAAAGGAAACTATAAGCAAGTTGAAAAGACAACCCTCAGAATGGGAGAAAATAATAGCAAATGAAACAACTGACAAAGGATTAATTTCAAAAATATACAAACAGCTCATACAACTCCATACCAGAAAAACAAACAACCCAATTTTTGATTGGGAAAAACACCTAAAGAGACATTTCTCCAAAGCAGACATACAGATGGCTAGCAAACATGAAAAGATGCTCAACATCACTCATTATTAGAGAAATGCAAATCAAAACTAAGAGATATCACCTCGCACTGGTCAGAATGGTCCTCATCAAAAAGTCTACAAACAATAAATGCTGGAGAGGATGTGGAGAAAAGGGAACACTCTTGCACTGTTGGTGGGAATGTAAATTGATACAGTCACTATAAAAGACGGTATGGGGATTCCTTAAAAACCTAGGAATAAAACCACCATGTGACCCAGCAATCCCACTCCTAGGCATGTAACCTGAGGAAACCAAAATTGAAAGAGACACATGTATCCCATTGTTCACTGCAGCACTATTTACAATAGCTAGAACATGGAAGCAACCTAGATGCCCATCAACAGATGAATGGATAAAGAAGCTGTGATATATATACACAATGGGATATTCAGTTCAGTTCAGTTCAGTCACTCAGTCATGTCTGACTCTGTGACCCCATAAACTGCATCATGCCAGGCCTCCCTGTCTTTCAGCAACTCTCGGAGTTTGCCCAAACTCATGTCCATGGAGTCGGTGATGCTATCCAACTATCTCATCCTTTGTTGTCTCATTCTCCTCCTGCCCTCAATCTTTCCCAGCATCAAGGTCTTTTCAAATGAGTCAATTCTTGGCATCAGATGGCCAAAGTATTGGAGTTTCAGCTTCAACATCATTCCTTCCAGTGAACACCCAGGACTGATCTCCTTTAAGATGGACTGGTTGGCTCTCCTTGTAGTCCAAAAGACTCTCAAGAGTCTTCTCCAACACCACAGTTCAAAAGCATCAATTCTTCTGTGCTCAGCTTTCTTTATAGTCCAATGCTCACATCCATACATGACTACTGGAAAAACCATAGCCTTGTCTAGACGACCTTTGTGGACAAAGCAATGTCTCTGCTTTTTTATGCTGTCTAGGTTGGAATATTACTCAGCCATAAAAAGTA